AAGCAAAAAAGTCAGTATCTCAAACATGGAAAATAATTTAAGTATTTAATGGTAGATAATGGTATATTAATGGTAGATAAATTTAGTGATGAGTGCAAAAAATGTATCTCTAGAAAGATGAGTCAAACTGGGTTCAGTGATTTGCATAGTTGAGATCAAGTAGTTGAATGTTCACTAATATTGCAGCATCCCATTGATGGTACCTTTCAAATTATTTAAGTATATGTAATTGTGATCTTCAAAGACTAAGAAAAAAAATTTATGTAGAACAAAATAGTGGGTGTTTGAAGGGGTTTGAATGTTAAAACTAGCAAAACTAGCACTTATCCTTTTCTCCCAGTAAGTTTTTTTTTATTAAAGTGTTGTTAATATACAATCTTATGTTGGTTTCAAATGTACATCACAGTGTGTCAGTAGTCCCCATGATCAACTTACACTATGATTGTGAATTATTGTGCCCTTTTATTCCCATCCCTCTCCCCATCCCCCCTCGGTAAACACTAGTCACTTCTCAGTGTCTGAGTCTACTGCTGTTTGTTCCTTCCATTTTGCTTTGTTTTTATATCCCACAAATAAGTGAAATCATATGTTATTTGTCTTTCTCCGCCTGGCTTATTTCACTAAGCATAATACCCTCTAGATCCATCCATGCTGTAAACTAGCAATTATCTTAATTGCAATTGTGAGTATGAATATTCCACCTCTAAATTTGAGTATCAAATTTTTAAATTAAAATCTATTGACTATGATTGTCAACAAACTATCAAATTTTCATATTTCTCCCCCTTACCAACTTATCTTACACAAAGAATAAAGTCTCAGGGACCTATCTTGTGTTATTAAGACATAAAACAGTTGGAAAGCTTGGCTCATCCAGAACAATATGTGCCATGTATAATCAGTGAATCTCTCTTTTTGAAGTATTGAGCAAATGAAGTTACAAGTTGAATCCAATAGAACAACTAACTGTCAGCTGTGGGTGATATAAAGTCAAATTTTAAAATAGTTGATTTTGATTAGAACTAATTTTTAGGCAGATTTATTCGGTAATGGTTTTGTACGTATGAACACGAAGACAGAATATTATAAGGTATACATGCTAGGGTTTAGTGCCCTAATTTTCTCTTTGTAATGCTTTACTACTTTAAAAGCAAACAAATTCATAAAACCTATACAATTACTGTTGAAATTAAGACTTTAAGTCACCAAATACATCAATCTTGAAAAAATGAGCAAGAAAACAGCTATTAAAAGTTAGGAGTAAGAATCACTGGGACTAATGGAAACCATTTGCAGCTGATTTTAGAAAAACCAATAAGCAATACTATAGTGTTTTTTATTTAATGGAATAAGAACAACGCTTTATAACCAGTCCTGTTTCAGCTTTCCTTTTTCAATACAAAGAAACAACCAAAAAATAAAACAACAAGTAATTTAGGATAAAAATGCTTTTTTAACTAGTTTCTCCACTTTTTTTCACATGAAAAGATGCTAGTTCATAAAAATAAAAGCCTTTTTCTAACAAGGAAATGAAAATGATATTTTCTTAAGGCTGGTGGACTAAAATTCTTTTGTACATAGAGAGAAATATAAGACCCAACATTTGAATCTAATAGTAAATATCCTAGAGAAAGCTCACTGCTTCGTGACTCAAAAGAAAACAAAAACACAGGAAACAAATATACAAATGAATAATCTAAAATAAATGCACTGTCTTCATCAGAAAAAAATTACCACACACAGCTCCTATAACAAAATATAATTCAAAGCCACATTTGAAATTACGAATAAAAATGCAAAATATGTTCTGCCTTCAAATAAACAGAATAGAATGTTTTTACAGATTACTTTTAAAAGTTGGCGGTTACAGAGATGAATAAGAAACAAATTTGGAACTGAAAACTAAAAATTTCAAAGGAAACAGACACCTGCAACAAACACCTTTAAAATTGAGTATTTAAAACACGAAGAGCCCACATCCTATAATTTTGCTTTCAATTTTGATAATTTAAAGCAACTTATTAAAAGAGTAAGGGACAAATACATAAAGAAAACTTTGAATAGTAAGTATATGGGAATGTAAAACGTCCAACTAAGAAAATATTCAATTCTTTTAACCAACACAGGTTAGGTTGGACAACTCCAATCAATGATACTGTTAAAAAGTAAACCGGTTCTCTCAATAAATAATTTTCGCATAAAATAGCTGTACTCACAGATAAGGAAATATTCTGAAAGGTAAACAAATACTGATTCAAAATAGGCTAAATCTAAATCTGTTACTTTACACAAAAACAAACTTCCTAGAAATGTCTGCAAAGCAAACTCACTTTGCTCTTTTGATAACATATTTTAAACAAATGTGTGTGAAAATATTTGCATGAATTAATGTCATTTTCCTTTACCACAATTTTTCCATTTGTCTCAATAAATCCATCTTATCAATTTTATCTTTCAGTTTTGAAAAAAACCTAATGTGTAGCAATGTTCAGAGTAATACAGCCGTATTTGGAAATGTCTTATTAAATTTTAATAGTAGAAATAAGACACTCTGTCTTACTTTGATAATAGTCTTACTTTCCATTATGTAACAAAACAGCATATTTTGGCTGATGTAATTCTTAGACTCCAAATATTTTTGGTTTCTTCACTTTCTTTTTCATTTTGCAAAGAAGCTAGAAGAGTAAAACCTTCCATTATTTTACTAAAGTGAATATAATAAATTGTAGCTAGACAAATTGTTACAAAAACGAGACATCCATTTCATAGTATTTTAACAATATTTTTTTCTCAAAAAAGCAAATACTTCCACTTAAATGCTCATGTGAAAAAGGGTTGGTTCTTTTGCTTGTTTGTGTAATACATTCTTAAGTAATATAGTTGATATAAAGTCCCACAAATATAACCATAAATAACTATGCTGTCATAAAGTAGCTCAAGTCAAGTTCTTCAAAGCTTTCAGTTTTCATCAATTTGAGAGAAAAAACAAGAAATTTCCCGATTCCATGAGGTAATAATTTTTACCCTAATTTGCTCAATCTGCATTTGCTACACAGGTACAAAACACAGTATACTATAGATAGATACTAGTAAAATTCTTACATATGTCAGTTTATATCTACTGAAGTATACCACAAGTGTACATTCACTTCAATTTTTCAGAATTACTTTGCCATTAAACATGATATTTCTCGTAAAATGCAACAATGTTTCAACATGACACTATAATTAAATGTTGACTATGAAACGTTTAACTTCAAGTAGAAGCACAATAAATAAAAATATACTTTGCCTTAATTTTTAAAAATGTTGTACTAAAGAGGAAGGGGTGACTACTTTAACATTTTATACTTGAGCAATTCATCCTCCAAAGGTAGGCCTGCTGCATCCTAAAGAAGAGAAAAAGGTTTCTCCCTAATAAATAAATCTTTTTTAAAACATAATTGAAGTATCTCTTAAAACAGTTCCAGAATAAAAGGAAGTGAAAATAACAAAATAAAAGCCACTGGACAAATCATAATAATTAACAAGAAAGATTTTGGAGGACTAACAAAGTTTGGATTAAGAAGAAAGGTCAATATTCTTGGCCACTTATAGAAACTTGTGACCTTTGGCAAGTTTCTTAATCCCTTTTAGCCTCAATTTCTACATCTGCAAAATTGGTCTTGTGCTATAAATAAGAGGGCAAAACAGGTATTATTAGTACTGAGCCTGGCACTTATTCAGGGGCTCAACAGTGACCTTACAAAAACTTCTATGATCCTGGCATTAAAACCTATTCTCTTTTGCATGGTAGTTTAACTATGGCACTTCTCAACTGGTCACTTTTAGTGTAAATGATTGTATAAAACTAAGAAGAAAAAATAGGGTTAAAAATCGAATTTTACACGTAGGAAGAACCTGGACTCAGGCAAAACTGTGTGATGCAGATTTTATCAGTGGGCCATCAACCTACGTTTCAAATATCCTCTTCATCCCCAGCCGAGATGATGTGAGCATAGGAGGATATATCACAGCATATGCTTTTCAAAACAAAATCACTTCAGGCAGAAGAAAAGTCTAGCACTCTGTACAGTACTAAAGATGTCGAATTCTTAAGTATTTGTTAAATCAGTAAAGCTGTGCATTTCGGACAGTAAGAAAACCTACTTATTTAACAAAATTTTCACTTTCTATTCTGAACTGGAGTCCCTTTCCTCACCAACAGGTCAATATTTAAACCTTTACCTTCACTTAATTACTTAAAAACCCTAATTAGACATGAATTATTATCCCTAAATTAACGAAAATGGTGTGAGCTTTAAACACGGTCAAGTAAACTGCCTGAAGTTAGTTTGTGAAATACAGAAGAAACTAGGATTCGAACTCGCATCTCTGCAGTTCAAAGTCCGAGCTGTTCTTGCTACACTAAAGCATCCACTTCCACTAGTCTCCTTAAACTGTCCAGTAGCGAGGACATTTACTATTAAGCTTTTTTTTTCCTCCTCTGTGGCGAACCCTTCCATTTCACACTGCCACTTATGCTGGGCTATAAAGTAAATACAACGGGCAAGGTGCACTAATTCTAGGAGTCGGTGTATAGGCCCGAAGAACGGAAATCTGATTTATTTTGTGCGCCGGCCGGAGGCCTGGCACCACCTTCACAAGCGACGAACACGGGCTGGGGTCCAGAGAGACTGCAGACCGCGCCCAGGTCTCAAGTTTTAGTCAAGGCCCGCATCCAGGCCAGGCGAGGGGAGAAGGCAAGGTTAGCCTTTCCCCATACCCTCGCCACGGCGGGAGCACAGAGGAGAAGGTTGGAGTTGCAGTAAGAGGGCAAACAAGAAACCCTAAAGGCCCTCTTCAGCCCATTAAACACACTTACTTGAGCAAAGTAATTCCAAGACGCACGGCCAGCACCGGCAACGGGAAGGGCTCCTGTCTCCTTCAGCCCCAGGCGCTCAGGGTGACGACATCTGGGCCGCGCCACGGAGAGTGAAGGCCCAGAGCCAGGCCACGAGCCCAGCGCAGCGAGCGCGCGCTCACGGCAGGGGCGCGGTGCTACAGTGGCGCCACCTTTAAGCGTCACGGGCAGGGCTCTGCTTCTGGACCTGTGAGTTTGAACATGTCGCGCCCCAAGGGAATGGCGGAGCGGGATCCGCGGGCTGGTTTCAGGACTGAGAGGAGGTACTGTGGTGCTTCGGTACCGCAGGGGCTTTTGAAGGCGGCGAGGAAGAGCGGCCAGTTAAATCTGTCGGGTCGGAACCTCAGTGAAGGTAAGAGCCAGACGTACGACCCGATCGTGCGTCCTTTCAGAAAACACTTGCGCCTGGAGCCTGTCTTTTCTTTGGCCTGGCTTTGGCCACCTTTGCCTCTGGCTCGTAGCTGCATCCCCGGGCTCTAATTCAGGCACTTGTCACATTTCCACTAGCTCGGTCAGCCCTGTTCGGTTTCAACTTTTGGTCCGGGAATCTCTGGTGAAGGGATTCTGCTGGCCAAAATGTACACGGGGCGATAACTGGGATTCCCACATTCAATGGGCTAAACTACATAATGTGTAATTAAATTAACTGACATTTGATGGCAAATGCTTTGTTTCTTTGGCCCTCTTTTTCTCCTCTTAATTCAATCTCTGAGGGCACTTATCAACGCTAAAATTCTGTATTTCATCTACTCCTTTGTGAACTTACACTGAATGCTGCTGTTCCCTGCCTAGACTCTTTTCAGTGCACAACTGGGCAGAGTTCTAAATACGAAAAATAATGAACATATTTTCTAGATTGAGGATCATGATAGGTGCCATACAAAGAGAATTCGGGGTCATCACGAAAAACCTAGTAAAGATCAACAATCGCAAATCTCGATGCCATGAATGAATTAATTGCCAGATGCACTCTTGATTATCTATTGTGTAAGGGAGGGAGTGGGAAGTGGCGAGAGAGAATACAGCATTCTTCCCGTAATGTTTTCCTCCACTTATATTCAGGTTTTAGACTATCTGGGTTTAAGACCTTCCATCTTCTAAGGACTGCTTTTTTATTATGCCATATGTAGAATAAACCAAGCAAATACTTGCTGAATGAAAAAGGATTTATGACATTAAATCTCTGTTCTACCTGGGAAAGTTTTTAATCGATGATATAAATATTTAAAAACCGCAGATGTGAATATACAATTACTTTTCCCGAAGCCTAGAACATTTTCCTTGATATCTGATTACGGTTCAACATTTGATTCTTGTAGGACTCTGCGCGGAGGTCACACTTCCTAACTGCCCCCTGTCTATAAATACGATTGCTAACACTGTTCTCTTACTGTTTAATTTTTTAATAGCATTTATTACTATCAGAATTTATATTATGTATATTGTTTGTTTGTTGTCTCCTGAACTCTGACTAGAATGTTAGTTCAATGAGTTCAAGAAGCTTAGTTTTGTTGGATTTTCAGATAATTATTTTTTTGTGAAGAGTAGTTGATATACAATATATTAGTTACAGGTGTACAATATAGTTATTAGACAATTACATATACATTATATAATGCTCACCCTGATAAATGTCACCATACAAAGTTATTACAGTATTGTTAACTATGCTGTACTTTTCATGCCTGTGACTTATTTTATAATTGGAAGTTTCTGCCTCTTTATCCCCTGTTTGGCCCATCATCATACCCCCTATCTCTGTGGCAACCATTAGATGTTTATTTCTGTTTAGTTTGTTTTGAGTTTTCGATTCTAGGTATAAGTGAAATCACATGGTATTCGTCTTTGTCTGACTAATTTCACTTAATACCCTCTAAATTCATCCCTGTTGTCACAAATGGCAAGATTTCATTCTTTTTTATACAATAATACACTGAATAATATTTATAGTGAGTAATATCACACTATATACACACACACACAAAAACATATGCACACCGTATCATCTTAATCCATTTATCATTGGACACGTAGATTGCTTCAATGTCTTATAAATAACATAAATATTATAAAGTAATGCAGCAATAACTATAGGGGCACATGTATCTTTTCAAATTACAGTTTTTGTTTTCTTCAGGAAATACCCAAAAGTGGAATTACTGGGTCATATGGTATTTCTATTTTGAATTTTTGGAGGGATCTCCATACATTTTTCTATAGTGGCTGCACTATTTACATTCCCACCAGCAGTGCATAAGAGTTCCCTTTTCTCCACATCCTCTCCAGCACTTGTTATTTCTTGTCTTTTTTTTTTTTTTGAGAGTGCATCTCTCATATTTATTGATCAAATGGTTGTTAACAACAATAAAACTCAGTATAGGGGGGTCAATGCTCAATGTACAATCATTAATCCATCTCAAGCCTAATTCTCGTCAGTCTCCAATCTTCTGAAGCATAACGAACAAGTTCTTACATGGTGAACGAATTCTTACAGAGTGAATAAATTCTTACATGGTGAACAGTACAAGGGCATTCATCACAGAAACTTTCGGTTTTGATCATGCAATATGACCTATAAACCATCAGGTCAAATATGAATATTCATTTGATTTTTGTACTTGATTTATATGTTGATCCCACATTTCTCCTATTATTATTATTATTTTTATTTTTAATAAAATGCTGAAGTGGTAGGTAGATGCAAGATAAAGGTAGAAAACATAGTTTAGTGCTGTAAGAAGGCAAATGTAGATGATCAGATGATCAGGTGTGTGCCTATGGACTAAGTATTAATCCAGGCTAGACAAGGGCAGCAAGACATCCACGGATGCAGAAGATTTCTCTCAAAGCAGGGGGGGTGAGGTTCTGAGCCTCACCTCTGTTGATCCCCAAATTCTCACCTGATGGCCCCCCTGCGACTGTGCCTGTCTTAGGTTGTTCCTCCCTTGAGGAATCTTACCCGTCTCTGGCTAACCAGTCATCTTCCGGGGCCATACAGGGAAATGTAAAGTTGGTAAGTGAGAGAGAAGCCATATTGTTTGCAAAGGTTAGCTTTTTACTTCTTTGCAGATTTATGCCCTGTGGCTTCTATGCCCAGCACTTGTCTCGAGGTATCTTTACCACCTGGAGGAATTATGATACTCGGTAAATTCGATATGAGGCACGAATTCTATTTAAGGTTTGTAATTAGGAAGGAAGAAGAAAAGCTATAGATGTAGCATATGAAGGAAACTTGGGAGGATTGATTATTTCTTTGACATATCTTCTTGTATAGTACCTTAAGTATGTATAGGTTTTAAACTACTAACTAATTTGCACACACATATTAACATAATAGGAATACGGTGACATAAACAAAGCAAATCTATAATTACCAGCCATCTCCAGTGAAGCCAAGAAAACCATTTAGGCACCCTAGGCATTTGTGAAAATTTATCTATGATATGATGGATATTTTCCAACTGTACTTGAACCATCAGACAAATTAAAGCAGCCCATTTCTGGGATCTGTTCACATCCCATATGTTCTTTTAACCATAGATAGTCTATAGTCATGAGATTTTGGGGTGCTACAACTTGCACCCCTCCCAACTCCTGGTTGAGTTCCAACAGTACAGATCCAGTCAAATTCGTTGTCTCACTGTATGCACATGCCAGCCTAGACATCTCCCTCCTCCTTCTTATGGCAAGTCCAGGAGATGGTGGGCTGGATGCAGCCACAACCGCAGCATCGTCCGGATCCCTGTGGAGGCTTTTTGATGATCATCCCCCGGCACGAGTCCTCCAGAGAGTGCTGATGCCGGAAGCTCCTCCTCATATCGTATCTTAGTTCATTTTCTGGGTATCCAAGCTAGGCCTTGATCTTCTGCGTAGAAACAAACAGACCCTTTGCCCACACTTTGACATGCCCTCTATACCACTGTGCAGAACTCATTGGAGGTCAGCACACAGTAACTTTTTTTTTTTTTTTTTTTAATTAAGAGAAAGGAATATTATCAGAAAAGAGTACCTCCATAGCTGATCATCTGACACCCTTTAAGTGATCAACATTAAGGATATTTAAAGCATGCGTTGATCTTTGATTTACCAATAGTTTTATCCTGTTAAGGAGTAATCCCCCTTTTCTTTCTTTTTTTTTTTTTTTTTTTAAATTTTTAATCTACACTTACCTGAAGAATACTATGTTTACTATGCTCTCCCCTATATCAGGTCCCCCCTAACAACCACATTACGGTTACTGTCCATCAGCTTAGCAAAATGTTGTAGAGTCACTACTTGTCCTCTCTGTGTTGTGCAGCCCACCCTCCCCTTTCTCCCTCCCCCCCATGCATGCTAATCTTAATACCCCCCTTCTTCTTCCCCCCCCTTATCCCTCCCTGCCCACCCATCCTCCCCAGTTCCTTTCCCTTTGGTACCTGTTAGTCCATTTTTGGGTTCTGTAATTCTGCTGCTGTTTTGTTCCTTCAGTTTTTCCTTTGTTCCTATACTCCTCAGATGAGTGAAATCATTTGGTATTTCTCTTTCTCCGCTTGGCTTATTTCACTGAGCATAATACTCTCCAGCTCCATCCATGTTGCTGCAAATGGTTGGATTTTTCCACTTCTTATGGCTGAGTAGTATTCCATTGTGTATATGTACCACATCTTCTTTATCCATTCATCTACAGATGGACATTTAGGTTGCTTCCAATTCTTGGCTATTGTAAATAGTGCTGCGATAAACATAGGAGTGCATCTGTCTTTCTCAAACTTGATTGCTGCGTTCTTAGGGTAAATTCCTAGGAGTGGAATTCCTGGGTCAAATGGTAGGTCTGTTTTGAGCATTTTGATGCACCTCCATACTGCTTTCCACAATGGTTGAACTAATTTACATTCCCACCAGCAGTGTAGGAGGGTTCCCCTTTCTCCACAGCCTCGCCAACATTTGTTGTTGTTTGTCTTTTGGATGGCAGCTATCCTTACTGGTGTGAGGTGATACCTCATTGTAGTTTTAATTTGCATTTCTCTGATAATTAGCGATGTGGAGCATCTTTTCATGTGTCTCTTGGCCATCTGTATTTCTTTTTTGGAGAACTGTCTGTTCAGTTCCTCTGCCCATTTTTTAATTGGGTTATTTGTTTTTTGTTTGTTGAGGCGTGTGAGCTCTTTATATATTCTGGACGTCAAGCCTTTATCAGATCTGTCATTTTCAAATATATTCTCCCATACTGTAGGGTTCCTTTTTGTTCTATTGATGGTGTCTTTCGCTGTACAGAAGCTTTTCAGCTTAATGTAGTCCCACTTGCTCATTTTTGCTGTTGTTTTCCTTGCCCGGGGAGATATGTTCAAGAAGAGATCACTCATGTTTATGTCT